TACGGTTAATTTATATCATTAGATTGTTAACTACTATTAGGTACTATGTAAACAACGGTGAACAGTAAATATTTTTAATTTTAGTTCTTTGTGGGATCAACAATTAAGAAAATAACTACTTCATATAAATTTTGAACGACATATTTATATCTGAAATCTGTAAACATAAAATTAAAAAGAACTAAAATTAGAATTATACTTTGAACAAATCTATCGTCTGATATTTCCCCTAGTAGCTGATAATTTTTAAATGTTAATTTGTATTTACTGTAAAATAAATGTAACATTGTAATTAATAACTTCTTTGATTTTGCAGCTACCAGACATAGCTAATTCCAATACTACCTTCAATGTACCAACCTGCAAGGTACATTGTTGGTAGTATTGGCATTAGCTATACTTAGGATTATCTGTAGACGTTAGTAAAAAAAAAAATATACTAGGATCCAATTTTCAGATGGCGTTTCAAAATGATTGGCATAAATTTTTGACGAGTGGCAACTCTTATCCCCTATACTTAATATACTCTTTGGTTCGCGACTAAGATCACTCAGATCAGTTCGCCGCTCCTAAACGAACTAGTTCGCTCTTTTAGTTCGTCAGCTCCCGACTCGCAGTTGGAGTTGAAATTGGAATGAATCGTATAGGAACTAGGAATGCACTGGCAGCCAAATCGCTCCCTAGTTCGTCAGCTCCCGACTCCCAGTTGGATTTGGAATTGGAATGAATCGGATAGGAACTAGGAAGGCACTGGTAGCCAAATCGCTCCCTAGTTCGTCAGCTCCCGACTCAGCTCATGACTTTTCAAGTGAGATCATATGTTATCGCATTTGTTAGTTCGGTCTTCACCATAGACTATACATATAAACGACTTCACAATCCTTGTAAAATACGAACTAAGGAACTAAGGAGTGGGGAATGACGTGAACTAGTTCGCATATTTTGAATGTGGGAGCGCTCTTTTGAACTAGTTCGTTCGCGAACTACACAAGCCTAATTTGGCCACAGCTGAAGACAATAAGACGTAAACAACTCAAAGCTAAAAGCAAGGCGATATCTGATCAGATCAAAAAGAGGAAGCAGTTTAAAAAGAAAAAACCTGGTAAATCATAATAATAAAACTTTATTTTCCACACAATGATTTTTATTTTGTGTATGTATAATGGATAGGTAGAACGGAATTCCTTACATTCTATTACGGAAGAACAAGATTGGTAAATAAATTTAGTATAATTATGGCATACAATCAAGGGTATGGCTTTCGTCGTTTGATTAGATCTTCTGAAATTCGAGACAACACTACTTACCTATTTTCTAAATACATATTGTTGTGCAAACAGCATGTAATGTACATACAAAGACCTTGCAAGAGATTCACTAAATACACATTATAATCTCTTATTATGTAAAATGATTATGCTGGATTGGAGAATTAGTGTTTTAAATAATGGACGGTTAAATTCATTTCAAAAACATGAAACTAGTCAAATTATGCTAAAATACTATGATAAAAGTTGATAAAAAATTGAGCACCCTATTAAAAAAATCTGTAAAATCTGAATGTAATAAAACTATGCATTTAACATAATTATCTGTCGCAACATGATTATACCATTCATTATAAATGTATCTGCCATTATAAAGTATTGTTAAAAACGTAACATTATTACTTACTAGGTACTAGAAAAATATAATATCAAAAATTGTACTTTATATTAGCCTTAGTTGCAAAACATGTATAAAAAAGCAATAAATTAATTGATTCCAAGACAATAGTCAAAATTAATAAATAAAAAATGCAACACATTACAGTAAGATCTAAGCACTGGAATGCAAAGTCCAACTAACATACATTGAAGTGAAACTCTTATTTAGTTTGTGCTATCCAAATCATTTGTGCTAAAATTTACACTCAAAAGTGTAAGTACTGTGTACTTCGAGATTCTTACATTTACGAACAAAATATCGATTTATTAAACATTAACACTCTTCTAAAATCTGCGTCGATAATATGATTGATCCGCCTATAATTATTATGCATAATAAAATATCAAGACATAAATATGTAGTTCGCAACATTAGATACACAAAAATAATATTTGTAGCACTTTATAAACTTTTCTAAAATTCATGTAAACATTCATAAAACACATATTTTATATAATAGTACGTATTTATAATCTATATTTAGTATTAGAAAAATATTATGCCAAAATAGCTTATCATATCTACTAGCATTGCACCGAACATTAATATGAAAGTTTTTAATAGTCACAAAAGGTGATCCACACAAATAATGTGCTGTCAAATCACGGTGTCAATGTGCTTATAAAATATTAATTATTAATTATAAATAATAAAAATGCAAATACTGAGTCTAAGTAAAAGCGTAAAAGATTCTTCTTATTTCTAATTCAACTGCCATTTACCTGAAAATAAAATTACATTATAAATATAATGTCAAAGGAAGTCAAACAGTTTGATAGATTTCCGCCAGTTATTATCTCTAGTCAACTGCCATTACCACTTGTTAAAAACGTTGTTATTTTGCATTCATGACAATATGCTGAATTGAAACAATTCTAACAGCTGAAAAGAAAATCTAAAAACGATGACAAACAAAACTCAAACACCTTTTCATTTTTCCCATGCTACATGCCATTATGAAAGGACAGAAAGTTAGAAAAACCAATAAAGTAGGTACACAGTAATTTTAAGGGCTGCCACCATATATCTATATCTTTCTACACAAAAAAGCAGTTTTACACAGACATTTTCACATAATAGGACATAGTGCCTCCTCCTAAACACCGCATTAACAAACGATTTAGTAATCAAAACCAAATAGCAACTAACCTAGACATTAACCACAGTAAAATATATTCTACATACAAGGTATAAAGAATAAATGCCACAGATACTGATTTACGCCATGAAATAGTCTAAACAGTAAAAGGATTTGTTATAGTAACTTGTCTAGATGACCCGCAACCACCGATCGTTTCGGAGTCTATGGAAAGTACTTTTTTTTATTTCCAAAAGTAACCTAGTCCTAACCTGCACCTTCAGGTGTTGCATTTATTCTGACACCTAGTGTAACAACAAATAAAGCAAGATAAATTACATAGTCTGCAGCCAGCATCCACAATAAGGCACTGATAGGACATGCAAAGCCCCAAGGACAACAGGCGTCGAGTTAGTACTTGTCTGGCACGTCCTGCAGCTCGGCGCCATCTTGTTCGTCATATTTGTTCCCTTTATGTCCGCCGAGTTCCGCCAAACGAGAGTTCTTCCATCTGCCGTCGTCACCATTCATATTGCGATCTTCACAAACGCACAGGAACAGTGAATCGACTACCATCTGTGGATTATATAAGTGATTTTTGTTATGGATAGTTAGTTCCAGAAAGAAATGTGTAAATAATAGAACTCAGATATGGTCTAACCTAATCTACCAATTATTTTTTTCAAATAACTAATTGTATGGTGAGATAGGATCACACGAAGAGTAGAATTGGAAAACTTTTAAGAACAAAAACACTATATATAAAACAGAAATTACATAAAATAAACTAAAAACATAATTATATAAACAAACCTCGTAAAGAGAAAGGATACAGTGTGCAATGAAGAACGAGTAGATACAGATGACTAATGTGGGTACAGCAAAGAAGTGGAGGTCAGAGTTTCGCTTGAGGAGCAGTAGGCCAATGATGCCGGTGACCGCGGTCACTATGCACTTGCCAAGGAACAAGATGAAGTCGCCCACACTGTTAATAGTCGCCACTTGCAGTGCGTTGTTTACTATTGTGCTGAATGCCTGAAATAATTAATTATCAAATATTTAAAGGTTTAGAAGCCATTCCAGGTAAACAGTTACTACGTTTCCGATTTCAATGTTTGGATTAGGGCCAGCCCTTAATCCTTTACAAATAATTATTGTACTTTCGTGTAGGGTCTGTTTCAGGAATTTATTTACAAACTGAGTGCACTATTTACAACTGCTTACCCCTAGTTTATACTAAGAAAACTATGCTACATTAAGCCCTATTTGAGAACACAGTATTTAAAAGAAAATAATATATAAAAATTTTGCTGTGATAACAGCAAGTAATAAATTTATAGCAACAAAGAATATAAACAGTTTTTATGTTGAACAAACATTTTACTGGAATTCATTTGTAATGGCTAAAGTGTTAACAATAAATAATAATTGCAATAATCAGCATTTGGATTTGTATAATATACGAGTAACTCATAGTCTGGATAATATTTTATGTAGGTATTTACATTAATTAATTTTTGTTATCACACCTTCGATCAACAATAACAACTAGATATCGGGTCGGCGCAAGAAAATCGTCTCGACAAATAAGATCTCACTTGAGAATTGAGCTCTTATTTTGTTTAGTATGCTCCAAACACGGCCAACGTACTCACGTCTCACGAGTAATTGCAAGTTGCAAAAATAACAACCGAAAAAGCAGTATAACGGCCGGAGTGTCTTACTTTTGATAAGTACATAAAGTATAAGTTATATTTTAAGCTTTTAAACTAGTAAATAATATCAAATTAGACAAAATTATCAATTATAAACCAACGCCACCAATGTTTGTGCGTGTGTTGGCGATTCCTTGGCCAAGTCTCGCCAACATTTGTATAAACAGAACAGTGGATGCATGGAGTCGATTTGTATTGAAAAAATAAGAAATTGTATCGTTTCTTGCTCGTTCTTCTCCATAGGAATCTACACCTTGGAATGAGCAAATAGCTTCACTTTTAAATTTATATTGTTGTTGTTCAAAAGTGCCTTCCTGGTATAACTGAAATAAATAATTTTGACTTAGACTTAGACTTTTAACGATAAAGTAAATAAACATATCATACACAAAAACGTACCGCTAATAAAAATTAGTGATGTATACTAAGATCCCGAAATGTTAATTTTCATATTATAAAATTATTTTAGTGTCCAACGCGACTCCATACATACCTCCTGTAGCGAAATTCGAAATTTGAAGAAGCAAAACGAAACAAAACAAAACGATATAGATCGCAAGACAATAATGGAAAAATTATCTTTATTTGTTCGACCTTAAGGTTGAATTCAAACTAGATATTGTATAACTTATGTCTTTTAATTTCTACATGACAGGAGTAAGAAAATACTTTTCTTGTCTTATATGACGAATGGTCGTAAGTATTAGATAATATTTTGACGATTTATGACTTTATTATTAGGTGCCATGGTTGTTATTAGGTTGAACTTAAAACTATTTTAAAACATTTTTCTCTGTTTGTTATTTTTTACTATTATTATTCACACGGACAGAACTGGAGCTTGATTTTGTACGTAACCCTTTATCTAGTTGTTATTGTTGATCGAAGTATCACACCAACAAACCTGTTTCACTACATACCAAATAATAATTAGTTGCGATTGCATTTTAACCCAATCCGGTCCGCATAATATTATAATAACAATGCTTTTCCTCGTGTAGAGTAGGTTAACAATAGCACGATTAATTTATTAATAATACTACATTCTCACGCCTTGAACTTGGCCGAGGCCACGGTTGATGATAAAATGGTCTCCTGGATTCCGGTTATGGCGAAGATAGGCGAATTATAGTGTACAATTATTTATGCAAACAGAGGTGCACTCTCTGTTCTTGCACTGTCATGAACGACGGTAGACGGTATAAGACAGTAATTCAACACGACTATCGTGACGAGTTCGAGACTATGATCGAAAATAAGGTTTCGACTCAAGACCGACTGCTTTAAATGACGTGCTATTCAAGGTCTACAACAAAATGAGCAACACCGGGAACATTTTAGACATCGATTAACGCAAAGAGGAAGCAATTAATCAATTAATACAAATTAAAACAATGTACAGTAAGTAATCAGTCTATTTTTTGTTTCCTTCCTTCCTTTTAGTAATGAGTCTTTGAAAAAATATATATTAACACTATAACCCGATTATTAAGTAGGAAATATGGGGGTTACCTGGAAAGAATTCCGGGAGTTATGAAAATCCCAAATTTTGTAGAGTTTGATGTGCTCTTTACCATTTCCATTTTGTATCTTTGTACGTGCGCCAATCGCGGTGCAAAAGAAATCGATGGAAATCGAAAAAAGCACGTAAAAATTTACAAAATTGCCAATTTTCAAAACTCCCGGAAAACATTCTAGCACCTGTAACCAAATGCCATTTAGCACTTGTCTACACGTAGAATATAAAACCAAATTATATGGAATTGACGTAAATTTTGACACTTGTCAGTGTCATCCCCATACATTAAGCTTTCTACTCTCTCTCTCTGTGGACAAGCGCTAAAGTGACGTTTGGCTAAAGGCACAGGTAGAAGTATTAAATTACTGAACTTCTATCAGACAAGCCAATAATTACAACAATACAAAAAAATATAAACGAACTTACCTTTCCAGCCGCTTTACAGAAGTGGCACCTCTCAATGGTAATTATAGTGTAAGCGTTGTGATTCAGATAGCGAATGAACTTTTCAAGACAGTAGAAGCAGCAAATACCACACTTGAGACCACATTTAGCGCATTCCGAACCCTTCTCTGCTCTAGCCGATAACCTATAATAAAATTGTCAATTAATTTTATCAAATTCGGTTCAGTCGTTTGGGATATAAAGCATTATAGACTGACAGTTTTATCACATCAATAAAATTGAAGTAGGAATTTCAAATACAATGTACTAAGTTATTTGGAACTTAAAGAAATTAATAAAGGATACGTACTTGGCATGCAAATAAGTCAAAATAAGGCGAGGTATCTTGAACAGTGTAATAAGGAAAGATCCTTTGGCGACAGAACCCAGATGGTACTTGATAAGCTTGCCAATTGAATATAAGACTGGCGAGTTTGCGTTTGGTCCCCTGAAATAACAAAAACAATATATTTACTGACAGTTGTGGTCTTTGTTTTGGACCTAATATAGATTCAAAACTGTTTTTTTCTCTTTAGCATTTTATTGTTTCTAAAAACATTTGTGTTTAAAATTGTTTTAATAAAGAAAATACCCAAGTAAAACTCGATTAAATACAATTTAAGGCTTTCTCTTACCTGAAATACCAATGAGAGACAGCTCCAGCGATGGTCATCTGTTGGCAGCCGAGGATGAACTCACTGCCCCACACGAGGCAGATCAAACATATCCACCACATACTCTTCACCCACATTGGGTCGAACTGAATATTATCCAGGGCGAAAGCTAGAATAGTACATAACATATTTTATATGCAAGTTCGAGAGTATATATTTTTTTAAGGGGGAATATCATCGAATGTCTTCTCCCGCCTGGGTGAGGCGGGAGGGAGTGTCAGACTCTTACTGACATAAAATCACCCCGTTCCTACTCCTACGCTTCGAGCTGGATCCCCGGTAACCCGTTAAGTTCTTCGCGGACTAGAATACTGACTAGGGGACTTACTCTTGAATCCAATTCCGATCAATCGACATTAATACTGTAAAGTCTTGAGTAGCAATACTAGCGCCCATTGCATCCGTACGCGTTTATATTATTGGGTACACTAAGTTTAAATTCTATTTCAACGTCTACGATGAGGCTTGTTTACTGTTAACAATTAATAATTATTAAGATTTTATTGGATTAAAATTGCTTCGACATTGGGATTGGTTTCAAGAATAAGCGCTCTTGTATGTGGAGTAATGACATCTGTAAAGTAACTAGCACTGGTTGATACAGTGGACGGAAACAAAGTGGTGATGATGATAAAAACATTTCTAGTCCATGTAAGTTATGGTTTCATATTTTTCAAATTCCCAAATTCATTACTCTCATAAAATATGGGTTACATTGTAACCAGCATCGGTTTGACTATACACTTAGTTCAGGTGGCGATTACCAGTCGAGACCTAGATTGTGAGGGACGTGCGTGATTTAGGACGTTAGGCGTCGACGTGTCGGTCTCGATAGCAAAATAATAAAAAAAACGACACTATGACCTACATTTTAATGTGTTACCTTTAGTTTGAAAATATAATAGGTAGGTATAATACGGAGTAAGTCGGAAAACACTTACTTTTCAAAGTGGAGTTGCCATTGTGTGTATCAATGGCTGGTTTATTAAGGGAACCAAACTCCGTTGTAGTAGATCCATTGATTAAGAAGTTTGTCTGCAGTGGTATACCGGGATAATTCGCTGTAGCCAGGCAGACCTACAAAATACATTGTAATTAAATTCATTGATCAACAATACATCCATACATATTTTTTTTTATTTAAAAACAATGTTGCCCCACGTTGGGATTTTTTCCTGTGTTGTGGCCTCGTGGGTGCATTTACAAACATACAAGTTCACATACAATGACACCCAGACCCGGAACAACAATCTGTGGATCACACAAAGACTTGTTCCGTGCGGGAATCGAACCCGCGACACGTTGCGCGACATTCAGTTGCCCAGGCACCGCGCCAACCGTGCAGTCACTATACTATACTTTAATACAATAACAATGTCCCACTGCATCTGTTAGCAATAAGCTCGAACATTACTGAACTGATTTGTATGCGGTATTCTGCGTGAAGGCAGGGTGATTCATAGAGAAGATTTGAGAGTAACTGGTATTGATATGCAGACGGAAAACCAATATTGTAATTATAAATGAATTAAACTTTAACTTACCACAACAATGGACCAAAATGCTAAAAATAGCACAAGGATGAAGAATGTTATTATAGGTTGTAGGAAAAGAGCAGGAATGGAGCCGAGGCAGTGAGCAGTCTCTCTGAAGAGAGCCGCCAAGAATGATACGCGCGAGCGCATCACAAACACAAGCAGGAGTAAAATCACCTGAAAATAAATGATATTATAAATGTGAAAGTACATTTGCAGGCTGTTTCAATTTATCAAACAAAAATAAATATTTACACAAAACAAATCCTTGTTGAAAACTTACCGTAATTATTGTGGCTATAATTGAATACCACAAAAACGCGCTCTCGTTCTTTAGAGATTCCTGAAAATAATATTTAAAATAAATAATTTTTCTTTTTTTATAACGTGGGCAACGTTTTAAAAAACACACTAGGACTCACTTTCTCCTATGTCGTGGGTGTGTTTATAAACATAGGTAAGTTCACATACATATAACACCCGGAACAACAATCTGTGGATCACACAGAGTTGTTCCGTGCGGGAATTGAACCCGCGACACGTTGCGTGGCAGCCAGTTGCCCAGCCACCACTCCAACCGTGCAGTCTGATTTAAAGCGATAAATAAATAAAATATGCAAAATATTAGACTGTATTCAACAGGTTAATTAAGTGGGCCTCTATACTAATATTAGGCCAATAATTACATCACTTTGAATTGTTTCTACCAAATAATATTAAGAGTCAAGTTAGAAACTATAATCAAACATGAGTAGCACGCTCGTTAAACACGCGTCATAGAGACTTTGCGTGCTGGATGAAATTAATTCACTTATCCGACTTTTATGTGAATGTTTGGATTTGGTTCACAATACGATGCTTGTCGAGGGTTGGGCAAACTATTTTAATTTTATTCATGTAACATATGTAAGTGTAGCCATGGTTTATTTAAAAAAAAACGTTGCCTCGCGGTCGGATTTTCTCCTGCGTTTAACAACATACAAGTCGACATACATGACACCCATACCCGGAGCAACAAAGATCTGCAAATCACACAAAAAGTTTTTCCGCGCGGGAATCGAACCCGCGACACGTTGTGCGGCAGCCAGTTGCCCAACCACCGCGCCAACCGTGCAGCGGTGGAAAGCCAGTATACTGTATAGTGTATTGTGTACTTAGAATACTTACAGCCAAATACGCAGTTTCAAAGGTCTTGTGCTTATTCTTTAGTTCATAGTATGTGTACCATAATAATGCTGTTCCTGCCACACTGGCTATCGAAACCAATATCATGAATATCCACGACACCAAAGTAGCCAATAAATGCAGTATTGAGACCATGATTAAAGAACATACTGAAATAAAAAAGAAATTTTAATACATACGCAAAGTAAAATAAGTCACATTGTCTATCACTACTTTCTTCTACACTATCTACATTTTATGCAACACAATAAGGTTGAAATTCAAGTGACAAGATTACAAGAATATTGTAAAAGTTTTTAATTTGTCTAGTCCAACTAACTACAGCTATCCATTCTAAGTACAGCTAATTAGGTAACTAGTACGTAATAATTGAATCATCTTAGCTGCACGGTTAAGTATGTACTAGTTTGAATTCTTTCTTGATAAACATTATATTCAGAGTTGCTTGTTTTAAGTTATTTACAAGCAAAATTTTCTGTTCTTTTTTCATTATTTCACTCTTTTGGCTAGAAAACAATAGTTCAAACAAAAATTTTATGTTAATAAGTAGTTTGCAATCATTATAATTTCTTTTTAAATATTACATGTAAATTGGTACATTATTAATCTTTGCCATTTCTGACTGCTTGTTGCTGTTGTACCAATTTTTATTTTAAGGAACCTCCCCTAATTGCTATGGATACATTATAGTTCATAAGGAATTTCCTCTACAGTCTATTAATATTCATGTTTTACTCCTTTAAATTAAACTAGATGTGTGAATTGTTACATCTCAATGCTATTATAGGTAGACTTTTTTTTAAGGGGGGAAAATCATCGAATGACTGCTCCCGCCTGGGTGAGGCGGGAGGGAGTGTCAGACTCTTACTGACTAAAA